TTATATTTTTTACAACTGTGACTTTCGTATTAAAAAAAACCATGAGCCGAACTAAAATCTAAGTTTTTTTATTGAAATCATGAGTCAATTGAAGCTAGATCACTATGGAAAACTTGAAAGCACTGGACGGCCGTTTCGTCCTAGTGTGGGACTCCTCGGCAGTGTGCATCCATTCGTGAGAAAATTTCCGGAGTTCTGGTGAGAAGCCGTTATCGGTGGAGCTAATTCATGTCGGGTAGAAACAAATGTCGACCTCAGTGCGATAGAAGATGGTCGCGCGATTTCATGGATTGGTTGAGGTTACACATTAACTCCATTGGATGCTGGCTCAGTGGTCTAGTTAGTTAAGTGCCTGGCGCGAGACTGATAGCTACTGGGTTCGAATCACGAGGGGGGCGGGATCGTGAATGCGCACCGATGAGGAGTCCCATACTGGGACGAAACGGCCATCCAGTGCTCCCAGGTTTTCCATGGTGGTCTAGCTTCAATTGACTCATGATTTCAATCAAAAACTTAACATTCTCCACAACACCTAAACTGATATAATCTAAGTATCTCTCAGAATGTGTTGACTTTCTGAATACATTTATTTTCAACTTATTATTGTCTTCGTTCAACCAAACAATCAAGAAACGTTAGTTTGTGGTCATCAGATTCTATTTCCTTTGTTAGCTTAATGTTCTGCGAAACGCTGTTTATATTTTCACGAACAATTTTTCTAAACCATTCCGTTTATTGATAATAAAAATGTCATCTACATACTTTTAGTGAAGAATTAATCTCGTTGCAAATAAATAGCACCAACAGGTTGAATTGAATAGAGTTTTATCTACACTTTGGGATAACAACTACCTCAAAGAGTATTTAATGGAGATTATTAGAAATGAAAAAAAACTAAAGTAGGATGTATACCGAAAAATTGGAAGTCCACCGTGGTCATTCCATACCGTAATCAAACATTGGAAGAAGTCAAGAGGATTGTAAACAAACATGATATAAGAGTGTATTTTCGTGCTTATGACACCATAAGATCACCATTAGTGAAAGTTAAGGATAGGTTCCCGAAGGAAGAACAACAGAATATTGTCTATGAGATCAACTGTCATAATTGTAATGCAGCTTATGTGAGAGAAACCTCCAGACAATTGAATGTGAGGTTGAAGGAACACAAACAATATTTGAAAAATGTGTCTCAAATCCTCGACTGATCTAAAGAAACTTGAGAATAGGTCAGCGATAACGTTACATGTATTCAACTAGCAACTATATGGCAAATATTCGTTAACAAGTAATTAGACCTATCCAACTTGTTTATTGTACATGCATTGTTATTCTGATTGAAATTAATGTGGGTTGTGTTTAACAATACAATTATGTATGTAATGATTCTTATTTTACATGGACATCGGTTATTCAGAAACAATTTTTTCAACCTTCAACTTGCACTTTTATTTTTTCCTTCATACAAAAACAAATCAACACCTAATATCAACGATTAATAACTCAATCGTACACATACAACATATACACACAATCCATTCAGTCATTGTGAACTTTTCACATGATCCACATCACTCATGTTATTATATTTACTAAAATCAACATCTAAATATGATTAGATTAGCACAGTATAGATTGAATTTCATTTGATTGTTAAACACTATATATTTCTTTGATGATTTTGATTTTGATCATTACCCTGAAGAGGTGCAGATATGTTTGCTGGACGAAACATTGGAATGATTTGAATTTCAATCGTTGAGATTAATTCAAATATAATTTTCATATATGATGCCTTCTTTATTCTTGGCGCTCAATTTGTCTTAATATTCACTAGAAATAGAACATCCGATGATTTCAATGTTTCAACCGGATAAATTGAAAATAGCGAAGGGATTTACATAACTTTTTAGGACATTATACATAATACCATAATAATTAAAAGATTCATTAGTTTTATAGTAGAATATTAAATATTATTTTTTCTATGAGCATTAAAGTCTATTTATAGAATCCATAGATTGAAGTTAGCTGTGGAATTTACATGCGTGTCATCTTATTTGAAACTTAGCAGCTGGATATGCCTACCATACCCCAGTGTTAATTTTAACATTAGAACTTGAACTCAGCACTTTTTGCCTCAGGTACATAACGCGTTATCGATTGATTTACGAAGTTCAGACAGACACTAACTTATGCAACGGATGTTTTGTTTACATTGCCACTAAGATGGGTTTGAATTATTCTGTTAATGTTGATCAGTTTGTTTATCTTTAAAGACGCTGTGTCAGTCTGTAATTTGTTGATCTTAACAGATAGGTTTATTTTTATTAAGAAGTTACTCAAGGATGCGTACCATTGAGGAGTCCCATGCTAGGACGAAACAGCTGTCCAGTACTTCAAAATTTTCAATGGTGGTCTTGCTGAGACCAATTCTTGATTTATACTACGAGGGAAACCTAAATATATTTAACAACACTCATGCATTATTCGATAATTTTTTAGAAAAATTATAGAGATTTCACGAATTTTATTCACCTCCCCATATATTTTTTTATTGTATCTTTTGGATTTTGTCTCTTTTTTTTTTCATATTATCTCTATTCTTGTTGTGGGTTTTGTGTGTCCCTGTTGTATGTTGTAAAAAAAATCCTTGTCGGGTAGAGACAGGTATCTACCTCAGTACAATGAAAGATGGTCGCGCAATTTCGTGGATTCGTTGATGTTAAACACTATCACCATTGGATGCCGGCTCAGTGGTCCGGTAGGTTAACCGTTCGCATGAGAAACCGAAGGCCCTGGGTTCGAATCTCAGGGGGGGGTCGTGGATGCGCACTGCCGAGGAGTCCCATAATAGGACGAAAAGGCAGTCCAGTGCTTGCAGGTTTTCAATCGATTCATGATCTCAATCAACTGGGTAAGCCCATTAAAAAAAGTTTTGGTTCAATTTATTCGGATTGCTATGTAAGTATAATATCATTGTCTGTTTTTGTTTTGCTTGTTGATTTTTTTATATTTGTGCTAAATTATTTAATCGTTTTGATAACAGTCAGTGTATTACTGTTTCATTCGAAGGATTAGCGTTTTGATATTTTAGCACAAAAATTCTAGTTGTCAACAAGTGATGTGATAAACTGACTTCATAATTGTTTGTCTTTCCAATAATTGTTCGAAAGTTTTTACAATAAGCTTAGATACCCTGGTAAATATATAGAATACTAAATGAGTTATAATGTATTTTGTTAAATATACTTAGAATAGATGGATTATAACTAGGGGTAGAATCCTAGAGATGTGTCGTATTCAATTTAGGACTCGTCAGTTGGATACACCAATATTCAAATAATATCGTACCAGTACCTTTCTTTTATGACGCGAACCCGTTATCCACTGAGTTATCAAATCCAGTTGGTTATCAACTCGTTTAACAGGTATGATGTTTATATTTGTTTGTATGACTTAAATTTCACACCTCCCAAGGAAGCTTTCGTAATATTCTGTCTCAGTAATAGAACGTTAAATAGAAAATCGTGACGAAGTTACGAAATTCATTTATAGGATTTGAAGAGTACCAAGTATTAATTAACCTAACTAGTAAGAAATTTTACTTTCTGAGATAACTTAAACACTTACTAATATCGATATTTGATAAGTATATTTTTATTTACCAACACTCTGAGCTATACACTAGATGTGGAGCTTAATAATTTTACCTTGGAAAGTCGAAAACTATTGACGTGGACATAGAGATGTTCAAACCTCAATCAGTCATACATAACGTAAGAACCTAGCACCGATATGCATTACCCCAAGTTGCCACACCACATCAGTCCAGTGACATGAATTGGTCATGACGAAAATAGTGGTATCAGTATTAGTATTAATATTATTATTAGTAGTAGTGATGGTGGTAAATGATTAGCCAATGTAGAGAATATGATCTCATTAAAAGCTAACTACTTTAATCCTTAAGCCATTACAGTATGTTGACTACTGAGAACATGATAACAAACTTTTTCAAGTTAGAGAAAAATAGTTTTTGTAAATAATCAATGATGACAGCTTTTTGACAAATAAATAATCCCATGATTTCCGCAAAACCCTATACTTAGAATAATCATGTACTCACTAGTGACTAACTTCAAGAAACAATTCCTGGAGTTCTAGTAAATAACCGTGACCACTAAAGTTCAATCATATCGAGTATGAAACAGTTATCCAATATAGGCAACTTTTAATGATTGCACAATATATCTTGAATTGATTGAAGTTAAACATTAACACGGTTGGGTACCGGATAAATGGTCTAGAGGTTAAAAGTTCGTACACGAGATCAGAGGCCTTGGGTCCAATTCTCGGTTGAGGAATTGTGAGTGAGCACTATTGAGGAGTTCCATACTAGGATGAAACATCTGCTCAATGTTTCCTTATTTTCAATGGTTGTCTAACTTAAATTTAAAAATTATAAAAATTCTATAACTTCTATAAAATCCTATACTGAACATAAATAATACTCAAGTGAGTTGATTTCTTTCTCTCCATCTTTTTTACTCCTTTTTGACAATGATATGATGGAAAGAAAAGTCGATTCTCGATTGATTTACTTATTATGAGTTTTGGTTCAAGATTATTTCCATTTTGATTCAAAGTATTTTTCATATATGTGATCTAATCCTAATTATTAATCAAAATGGGTGTACAATCAATATATAAATGAGTGTATTTTCTACTAGAATCGTTGTCATCATCGTCGTCATGTTTTGGAGTTAACAAATCATCACTTATACCAGTTTTTGTGTTCTTACTTTCGCTTCGTGTGGATTGCAGAGGTCCCTCGTTCCGAGTATAATTGATAAGTGTTTCCGACATAACAATCAGTGACGATCAGATATAAAAAGTAGCATTAAAAAAGCCAAGACAATAAGAATTCAAACGACAAATTATAACAGACAAAAATAATGAACAACGAACAAAAAAATAGAGAATTCAATTAAACTTACTACTACAGTTCCTTGAATTTCTTCATATTTTCTCCGTTTTACACTTGATCTTTTATCATGAACATTTTCTTTATTTTTACCAGTAAACCAATTAGAAATTGTTGAACAACCATGTGAATGTGGATTTATCGATGATATAGTCTCTAATGATTCAGGATTCATAGAACATATTGGTAATATAGGTGAAGGTGTTACTGTTTTCATTTTTAATTCATGATCTTGATGTGATTTATGTTTAAAATGTGAAAAGAAATGACTAAATTTTCCATGTTTTTTATGTTTTATTGTTGTTATGTCATCATTTACTTTAATGATTTCAGAATTATTCATTTATAGTTATGTTTAGATAAGATTTATAAAGATTACTGTATTATTGTACAGTATGGTACTAAAAAATTGGTCGTGTGTACATTGTACACTTTTCTAATATATGTGTGAGCACATGCAAATATGTGTTTGTGAGTATACGTGTGTGTGTTTATATGTGTGTGTGTTAAATTATATCCAAATGATCCACATATTAAAAAAAGGTGAATTATACACAGACACACTGACAGAAAAGAGAAACTATATTAACCATTTACTTAATACATATACGTATATATTAGTAATATAAAAACTATACGGTTCCTCATTGTTCATTATCCAAATTATAAATAACCACAGAACTCTTCTAAGAATAATAAAGATATGCCTTAATATACGCCCTATAAATGATTGATTTAACCAAGTATTGTACTATATTATTCTTTTATTTAATTTCTATGACAATTTCAATAATTATACTACTTAACAATTAGTTTTAATTTATTTTTATATTGAACTATTATACAATCACCAATGAAAGTAAAGTGTTTGGAAAACCAAATGTTTATTCGTTCATTGAATTGTCATGTGTAGTTCTTAGAATTTGAGTATGAAGTGAGTAGTATTGAAATGGTAAGAAATGGAGGGAATCTATTCAATGAATCTAATTTTAAGATAAGGGTAGCCACAAATGTGTACTGTTGAAGAGTTTCAAAAGTGAACTAAACAACCATCCACTATTCTCTAGTTATTATAAATGTTTTGTAAATGACATTTATTTCTTATTAAGATTTATCCTCTAATAAGTCAGATAGATAGGAAAATTGGAAAGAATTGACGATCCATGTCTGTCTTTTTTTAGTGTACTGAGTAGGAAAGAGTACGAATATTATTACATACCACTTTACAAGAACCCAATTTGGATACTTGTTGTTTTTTACATTATGGTTCAATGTACTCTGATTTGTTTGTATAAAAACTAAGTCTGTTTGAAATATAAAAACGATTTCGAACTGGTGATCATTGGTGTTTTGTTCTTCCTCTTCGTTCGGGGCCAGCCGTCATGTACAGAGTATCGATTTCTCTCGTCCTTGTTGAGTTTTTTTTTGCCTTAGGTTGTCTATGCGTATTAGTCATTGTTAGGATAATTAACAACAGCCCATTGTTCATAATTTAAGATCACATTGATAATGATATAAAAATCATATTCATTGGACAAGATAGTGGCTATCTGGACTTAGTAGCTCAGTGTGGATTGTGTCATCGTTTAGAGTAACTGGCATTAGGTTTGAGTTGCAGTGTAAACACCAACAATTGGATATGGTAGATACATCCAACTGATGAATCTCAAACGGTACAAAACCTGTGTCCTAGATTCCAATACTAGCTACATTCTATCTTTCTCAAAGAACTTGTGATAATCCAATAATACACAAGAGATGTCACACAAAAATGATCAAAATTTAATTTTGAGTATCAACAATGGAAAAATTTAATTCCATAGTAAAGACGATATAAACTAGTTCATAGGTTTTTTTCAATTTAATCACTTCAATCTTCTGTGTACTGATTGCTCAGTTGATAGAATAAAAATTCTTAAAATGATGAATATGGTGACCAAACTGATACGTTCACCATTGGGCAAATCAATATCTGAGCTCACAACTTTTAATAAACAAAGCTATCAGCCTATTGGCTGTGTGATATACATGTATATCACGGACTACTTTCATACAAAATATGTAACAAAAAAATTGTAAGGCAATTCTCCAAGTATTTTACTAAAAAGAAAACTTCTACGGTTTTGATTTATAATAATAGACTGATCGATATTACTGTACAACACAAACTAACTTACAATGTAACTGAAACTTTCTTCAGTTTTTAAACATTGAATATCAACTCAGAAATTCTCATTACTGACTAATTTTGAGCGGTAATTCATAGAGTTCTAGTGAGTTACCATGGCCTTTTTGGGTTCAACTGTGTCAGTTGTGAGGCATTCGTCCATCAATGGCACTGAAGGATGGTTACACAATAATGACAGTTGGTTGGTGCAAAATATGTAAAATGATCAACGCCACCCCAGTGGTGAAGTTCATAGTTTCAATTCTAATCAGAGTTTAGGAAGCCCACTGCTGAAAATTCATATATTAGTCGAAACTGTTGTTTGGTGATTCCCAGTTTTCAATGGTTATTTAGTTATTATCAATTCGCAGTGTAAACAATAAGGAAATTTTTTTGGGATAAAACCTAAAATCTCTGGATTCATGTCTAAATAAGAAGCAGTTAGACATGTTGACTTCTGGTAGACTTTAAAGTACGTTGGTTCTTAACTCGTAAATATACCGAAATCAACATACTGAATTAGAAATTTGATGCTTAGTTCATTTGACAATCAATAGATATAATACGGTAAACTATATCGACCAATGAGGAAAATATGTCATCAACTGTTAGTTGAGATATTAAGGCAATTTAAATATGTATTTACAGGGATATTCCATGTACTGAAATGGCAAGCTAACATGTTATATTGTCTCAGTTTCTAGTTCTAATTTACGAATTAGTTCGACTTCAATTATATTGCTGATGTATAAACTGACTAGATTTTTATTGACTAAATTGTAATAATAATTCGTTTTAAGTAAGTCAAATAAGTGAATAGATTGTACCTTGTCAAGAAAATGATTATCCATAATAATTACTTGGTAAATCGGTATTGTTGTTCTGTTTAACTTTGTGATGACATGAACCAATTACTGAACAATAAGTAACCTCATGTTTATCTAGTCCTTAAGGTTGGTTGACTTAAATTGATCTAGTTACAATGTTACTTACTTATTATTATTATTATTAGCTTTATTCAATATTATAATTTTGGTACAATATAGAATTCTCAGCGCAAAGTATTTCAACAAGTTTCCGTTTCTTTCTTCTTGGTCGGTCCTGGCGATAAATATTGAGGGATCGCCAGTTAGATGTTAGCACTTCAGTGAATGAACAACTGAATAATGTACATTCTTTTCGTTGTATATTGCCAGCAACCATATTGTCTCTTATTGAGTTTTTTGTTGAAATATCTAGATGGCAGGAACAGGTAGCCCAGATGCTCAAGCAGGCCGCCAATACTCCCAATGTAGCATAGGCCGCTGACCAGCATTCTCCAACCCACTCTGTCCTGGGCCTTCTTTTCTAGTTCCATCCAATTCTTGTTCATTTTTCTCATGTCTGTCTCCATTTCCCAGTGTAACGTGTTCTTTGTTCTTCCTCTCTCTCTTTGGCCTTGAGAATTCCACGTGAGGGCTTGTCTTGTGACGCAGTTAGGTGCTTTCCTCAATGTGTGTCCTATCCACTTTCAGTGCTTCCTCCTGATTTCTTCCTCCTCTGTAATCTGGTTTGTTCTCTCCCACAGTACGTTGTTGCTAATAGTGTCCGGCCAATGGATCTGAAGTATTTTGCGTAGACAATTGTTAACAAACACCTGTATTTTCTGGATGATGGCTTTCGTAGTTCTCCAGGTTTCTGCCCCATACAGTAGAACTGTCTTGACATTAATTTAAATGACTTAACATTTCATAGACTATACTTAGACGTTAATTAGAGAAGATCCACTCAGATTGTTGACACTGCTTCAAATCTCACAGAAAGCATCAATCCTCTAAAGGATAATGAGTGATAAAATGAGTAAACAAGGGATTTTTGTAAATTGCCTCCAACTGTCTAAGACCGAAAAACAAACCTCAAACTTCATTATGTTTAATTCATTGAATTTTTACACCGATACTATATAATGAACAATACGAAATACTATAAGGAATTGATAATTTACTATTCTAATAACTTATTTCCTATTGTTATTAATATAGAAGAAAAAAAAGAACAACCACATTTAAACAATCGAATTTGTTAGGAATAGGTAATTCTAATGATTCGTTATCATCACATTTTTTATTCAGCTGATCATTACTACTGATATATCGTTAAGATCGATTGGATGTAATAAAGGTTTTAAAAATAATCAATCTATCTTACTTTTTCCAGGATATACTTAGTGTCGATCAGATCGACTTTATAGTGTTCTACATATATACATATAATGTTTTACACTGAAATTATTGATTATACGGAAATTAACTATTCACTAAATGTAATAACAGTCGTGTTTGAAGTACAATTTAGTTTTAAGGTCATTTGAGTAGTTTGAAGTGAAAATACTTCATTCTTTTTGGTAACATCAGATTAAACTTAAGTCACTAACCAGATGAATGTTATTTTCTAACAACTTAACAGACAAACTTTTGAAGGAATCTTAAATTTTAATTATTCTAGATTTTATCTTATTTCGAAGTAAGAAAAAAAACAAGATCATATAAATATATAATCGGTAATTTATTGATTAAAAGCTTTTTAACTACCAATGAATACTAGAATAGAAATGAGCTTATATGTGACGATAGATCGGCAAGACTATGATTTATGGACGACTTTTATAGGGACTCGGAAGTGATCTTGAACAACTCTACGCATTTATTAGATCCAAGATACGGTTACAAATTAGTGTAAGGGATTAGGAACTAGAATTGATATTTTCATCACGAATTGGCATTCACTATAATGTCAAAATGCTGGTTAGCCATATGGATAAACAAACGTCGTGTCAAGATTCTCCATCTGATTGGTTCATCTATAAGTTATCGTCCCGCCATGATAACGAGTGGCTTGTAGTGTAACTGGCTGCAATCAGCCCGTATTAAATTATTAATTGATAAGGATGACTTTTCAGTTCTTTTACTAAGAACACACTGGATCCTAGATATTGCAAAGCACGTTGTAGCGGTGCTATTTTTCTCAGCATGCTTACGTCTTCCTACCAGAAACATCTCCATGTTTACATGATTGATAACTATTCTTTTGTACATTCAGGTAATAACTTTGTGCACGAAAATGCTATCACCTCTGATTGTGCTATTTGTTAGGATCAAAAGCGTCACATTATTGTTAACATGTGACATATATTCAATCAATACAGTTTATGAACATTCTTCTCAAACGGTGAATTCTCATTTTTAAAACGTTATATTCTCTTCGTATGTGACAAATTTTGAGCATTGTGACCCATCACTACCCATTGTTCACGATAGCCAAATTGATCCCAAACAAGTAGTTTGCACCTGACATGGATCAGTCCGACAGACACTGGAATGTGTTTGGTCTGGTTTTTCATAGCTTTCTCCTCACTTGCTCCCTCCCTATGCCAGGTGGTTTGAGTTAGAAACAACATATGTCCACGAAGGTTTACAGTCACATTAGTCACTTTGCCCTATTTCTCTAGTACCCTATGCCGTATTTCTACATTATTTTAAAGAGACACTGGCAACTCGACCAATAGAGTTCGACCAACACAATTAGAACTTGACATAAGTGGATACGATTGAATAATCAATCAATTGTAGGTACATCTCTGTCATGGTCGGCGTAGCTCAGTGGAAACATCTCTGCTAATCATACACACATGAAGAGTGATGGATATACAGCAACCAATGTAATGATTTAAAATAACCAAAAAGTATATTAAATAGTATAAGTATTCAAAAAAGGAAGTTCATAATATACACCGATAATAAAGCGACATAATATCAACCTCACATTAAACGCCTTTCACCGCCCCACCCTCATTCTCAAAAAGAAACCAGATAAATAACTAGAACAAAAAACGGATAGGTGCATATATTAAAAGCTGTGACAAATTTTCCCCGTTTAAATCATAATCCAAATATAGAAACTGATAAGAATGTAATAACAATATTATCATGTATATAAACATGTTTCATAAAAAATGCGGGGATAGTTGCAGTCTTAGAGTAGTAGTAGTAGTAGTAGTAGTACATAAGAGACTATTCACAGCCATGTGGTAAATTATGGTCTAACTGATTGAATTTCAAAATAGTAAGATTATTTGTAAAATTATACAAGATGGACAGATGTATTGTTTGTTGTTGTTTTTGTCGTCACCACTCAAAATAAACTTGTTGAAAATGGAATGAATGAAGTAAAAAGTTAAAATGAGATGAAAGTAGATCTCACATATTAAAACAGAAAGAAAAATTGATAAAAAGATAATTTTACTACTCAAATAACCAGAAGTAGTTGTGGTTAAAGAGAGAGATTTAAGAGAAACAGAGAAAAAGAATTAGAAATGATACAAAATAACATTGTGTCTTCATGTTGATTGTTCTGTTCATGCTTTATAAAGTACGTAATTGATAATCACCGTTTTGTGTAATATAACGTACCCATGGGAGTGCGTGATAACCAGATTTTTCAATAATTTTTAAGTGATGAACCTAAATAATAATAATAAAAGTAATAATATATCCCGATGACATTTCGTGACTTGATTTAAGTCACCTCTTCAGAGTCCAGTCCCGTAATAGATAACAATTTTATGTAAAAAATCGAACAATAACCACGTATGACGAAATCCATCATTTTAAATAACTTTAGAATTGATCAAATGTTGATTTCGGATTGTGTACCATTGGAAACTAGAGAGTACTGGATATCTCTTTCCTACTATCATGAAACTGCTCAGAAGTCATCAATGGGTTATATTGCGAATCGATTGAAGCTTAAATTGTGCCACTGGATATAGAGCCGATAGTTCTAGTGCTTAATTGCTCACCACGAGACATAAAGGTCCTCGGTTCGACGTCTGGATAGATTAAGTGGAAGCATTAGTGATCCCACCCCACACTAAGATGAAATAGCTGCCTGATAGCTCTCTGACTTTCAGTGGTATGCCAAATGAGACCGATATGCAATAAATACAGCTTCCAAACTTAAAAATGGTTTAAAACATCAACGGGCTCCACTTCATCAGTTATTAATAGTCAGGAAGAATTGAACAACTGTTTCGTTCTAGTCAAGAACTCCTTAGGACTAGATGCTTACGGCAATGCCAGGGGTCGAACCGAGGAATGTCATGTTTAGAGGTGAGAGTACCACTTAAAGACTATAACTTAGTTCGTAGCTAATGGTTCGCATCTCCAAATTCATTTAATTCGCAATATTATTTCAGTAGTTTGTTCATAAGTAATTATTGAGATTTTAAAAATCCTATTACTAATGAGTAGTTATTCCATAAAACAGTAAATATTTTAATGGGCCAGTTACCTATCAAGAACTATATACAAGCGCAAAAAACCAACAGAGTTCAAAGAGAGATGATTAAAGTGAGTCCATTGAATTAAAAGCAATCTAGGTTTCAAATTTGAAAAACAGAATGCTTCTGTGAAACTGTTCACCAGTCTATTTTAAATTCAATAATATCAGTTTTGTTGAAGGAACTGACATCAATTACGTATCATTAAAAGCCAAAAAGTACTAAAAAGGTGTTTCGCCCTAATGTGAAACTCATCGAGAGTGAACCCATATGATATCACCATGTTTTAACCAGGCAAAGGATACATCTGACAGCCTTTACATAACAATTATTTGTAGATAGTTTCACAGTCTAATACGTAACAAGCACCATAGTGGTCAGTGACCTAAGAGTTGTGGTTTAGTGATTATTTGAATGGTTGGATTTCAAACACAAGATATAAACTTATTCTGCTCACTTTACACCGAGTATACAGATAAATATTTTTAGTCTAGAGAGGGATAAAAATAATTATTTATAATTTCATGAGAGTACTTCTATGTAAGAAAGATCCCATCACAAACCTGTAAACCAGATACAGTGAAATATGGTATTTCGAATTTCACAGTTATTGGCGGTCTAGACTCCACATCTTGACCCCCTTCCACAGAAGGCAAACCGAAACTGGCCCTTAATATGTATTCTTTACCACCGGGAAAGCTGCGTATTGTCCAAATAACAACATTTGTCTCTGGAACATACTTCGCATTACCCATTGTTGTTTTAAATCTTGGTGAGTCAACATCCGATGGAACTGGAACATGAATTTCAACTTGATTCGCTGTACTTCGACGTTTGAATTGTGCTTTAGCCTTGTAAGTTATAAAAAATAGCAGAAAAATAAAACAAAAGAAGAATTAACCATTGTTCGGACGAAGTAGTACTGGTGATTCAGTGTATTGGTTAGAGCACTTGGTTGTTAACCACAATACAATAGGTCACAGGTTTCAACTCAGGTTTGGGAACCCTGGTAGTAGTAACATCTTATCAAAACAGCATGCATTAAAGTTGAGTACTCTGTAGATGAGTTGTAGTGAGGTAAAGCAGTAGTGATTAAACGATTGAAAGTTTAATTTTAACTACTAATCTCAATTCACTTATTCTGGGGTTTTGGGCAACCGAAGTTGTACATGGTTACAAAAGTTACATTATAAACAGTGTAAGATTGCTTTTGGTCATATATACTGCTAGTGGAGCATCTCATAGCAAAATCTCATGCAATTTAATCTTTTTGTTTACAATAAATTGATGACAAAAAGTGACAATATATTTTTAAAATAATATTTCAGAAGACACCTTTGTTGTATATTCTTAAACACAGAAATGTAAAAAGCAGTAAGTTCCCAATAGGAATTAAAATAACTGAGAATAAACATCAAGGCGGATATCGAAAGCCAGGTGTTTAGATAATTAGATTCATCACTTGAGAGAATTTACTTTTAATAACACTAAACTATGATGCATTGAGGTACATTTCATGTTTGAGGGCTAATGGCACAGTTGCATAAACCGAAGTGGCGTGGAACTCAAATCTGAGAACTAGCGACTAAAAATCCAATACTTTAACCAATAAGCCACTACTCCAAAAAACAAAACTTGAACTTTCTAAAAGCATCCTGACTATTCAGACTATGTAAACAATTCTTAAGATGAAATTATATATATATATATATATATATATATATATATCTTCATTTTATCGATAACGGTTTATTGTATTATTAATGAAGTCGAAATCCTGTCCATTGTGCTGAGAAAAATCAGCTGAAAGAGTTAGAAACATAGAAAACTATTACTAGGCAAAATCAACTATGAAACTAGACACTATGGAAATATATATTAGTCGATAGGGCGAGCAATGACTTAATCGATTGAAGTGCAAATGACATGTGAAGTTATTTTCTCCAAAGATATGTGACAAGTAAACATGCCGTGAGAAGAAATGATTAGCTGCATGATATTGTAAATGTGTTTACAAAATTAAATTATACAAATCTGGTTGTAAAGAAATCATATGGAAAATGGTGTATTCATAAATTATTTTTGTGGTCAAATAAATCTATATCAGTAGTCTTTGCATGTTCACTGTACGTTGTTGGATTCATTGGACGAAAGCCTTCTTTACAACGACGATTAATATGGAAATGTTGGTCGACTTATTTGACTTCAAAAATACTATTTTATTCGGATAGCGTATCGTTGTGTTACCATCGCAAAGCATTTTTTAGGTACAATACTTTACTCAACTGATCCCGAACCAGAACATAAACTGGAAAAGAACGAGAATAGCTAGTCCAAAAAGTAAAATATATTTTAAAAACGTTAGTGTTTATACAAGATGTACACAGTGGTCTAGCATCTTTTAAAGCCATCCATTGGTGTTGATTGATCCATTTTCAACTAATCAATGTGCTTTCGCATGATCATGGTTTAAGTGTGTATTAACCAAGAATCTATTCCGCTAACACATTGACCCAATGCTTGAAAATCGACCTAACAGCCAGGCCTTAATCGAGTTGAGAATGAGTGACCTACAAATCAAATTCCTCCAATCGCATATGGCATTTTATTACTTATTCTTGTTCATATAAGAATCAGCTGAATAGTAATTTTTTTATTTCAAGTCATTTGAGGGCTTAAGTCAATAATACAATCTCGTAAGGAAGCTAAAATTTGGCCACATTATATTATTGCTTTCATCTGCCAACTAATATTCTATTCGCTAAATTGATTGATCGCTGGGTGAGTGAAACAATCTGTGATGATGGGATGCTGATCAATAACATCTACCGGCGTCTTGAACAATGTGAAGCTTTTTTTAGGAGTAGTTCTACTGGTCTGTTGGCCCAGCAACATTGATCAGACTGTTCTGCCATCCATTGTCAGTGAAGATTGATCCCTTTAACGAGGTGGAAGTCCGCAGGGAACTTCAACTTCTGAAGCGCCACAAATTATCAGGCCCAGATGACTTACCTCCTAACATTTTTAAAGATGGTGGCGACTTTCTGGTTATGGAACTGACTGAATTATTTACAAAGATATGGAAATTAGAGAGTGTTCCAACATCATGGAATGAGTAGATAGTTGTTCCTACACTTAAAAAGGATTCACGTCGTTTTCGCAACAACTATTGAGGGATAAGTCTACTTCCAATAACGTTTAAACTAATGGCTTCCATCATACTTTGTAGATTGTCCAAAACCCGAGAAAGATTGACTCGCGAAGAGCAGGCTGGTTTTCGTTCCGGTCGAGGATGTATTGATCATATCTTCACCCTCCGCCAAATGTTAGAACATCGCCATACTTATCAAAGCCCAACAATCGTAGTGTTTCTTGACATCAGGGCTGCCTTCGATTCGTTGGACAGCACTGTTCTCTAGGATTGTCTGTTTAAGAAGGGTGTGTCTGAGAAATTTATTAACATCCTAAAGGCCCTATACACAAACACTTCAGGCAGAGTGAGGGCATACAACCACCTCTCTCCATTGTTTCATTCGAGCAGTGGGGTTAGGCAGGGTTGTCCAATCTCACCGTTCCTCTTCAACTTTGCCATCGATGACATTCTGGAAACAGCTCTGATTGATGTAAGTAATGGCAGTGTGGATCTGCCGCCTGGAGAAAGACTTCTCGACCTTGAGTATGAGGATGATATTGTCTTACTTTGCGATAATGCCCAAGCCATGCAATCTGCACTTAATCAGTTGGCAATCAGTGTCCTTAGGTATGGTATGTGCTTTGCACCTTCGAAGTGCAAAGTACTTCTACAAGACTGGCAGGATTCTAATCTTGTACTCACCCTGGATGGTGAGCAGATAGACGTAGTCGAGAAATTCGTGTATCTGGGTAGCTGCATAAGTGGTGTTGGGAGTGTGAGTGATGAGATCAATGCACGAATAGTGAAAGCCAGATCGGCTTATGCCAATCTGGGCCATCTTTGGCGCCTTCGTGATGTTAATCTGGTTATAATAGGTTGGACCTACAACGCGTCCGTGAGAGCAGTTTTGCTCTATGCTTGTAAAACCGAGCCTCTCCGAGTTGAAGATGTTAGACGGCTGTGTTTGATCATCGTTTTCTCCGAAGGATTGCTGACATCCAGTAGCAACACCATGTTAATAATGCAGAGGTTCAGCGTCATATGTTCGGACACAGAGATGATAATTCGATTGGTGTCGCTATCTTGAAACATCGACTTCGGTGGTTTGGACATGCTTTACGAATGTCGTCTCAGAGAATTCCGCGTCGTGCGTTATTATCCGACGCTGGGACCGGTTGGAGAAAGCGGAGAGGTGGTCAGTGTGTGGTGTCGTGGTGTAGAAGAAAGCTGTATAAGATTGGCTTCTGTTGGTCCAGTGGTAACTAATATGGCAAGCAAATTAGAAGTAGGCTAATGAGGTCAATCCTTGGTAAACAAAAGCGACCTGAAGGATAAGTGTCTAGAAATGGATTGATTACCTAAGGGGTAGAGTTGCATGTAAATAAATGAGTACTTGTGCATTTTATTCGGTAGCTCAATAGACTTTCTTATCTACTCTTGTCTTCTCGCTCAAGTAGTTAGGTAGGGGGTTAGCACGTAGCACATCGTGTATCAGTATCAGATTTAGGACACCGCCCATCATAACAATAACGTCTCTGATGGTGAAGCTGAGTTAGACGGGATCAAATCCGCTAAGGAGCATCAGTTCCCTCAAGGTTACATGTACACCTTACTGACTAGTGTCGAATAACACAAAATTCGGGTCCAGGGTTTTCTGTCGACTGCTTCCAAACACTAGTTCACATTGTATTTATTTATTTCAACAATCAAAAACTTCATCTCATATAAAGAACAGTTTGTTACTTAAAAAATAAGGTGCTAATTGAGAATTTGCTGTTATGAACAACCTAACTAGAGTTAGTCGAAAGTAAAAGTTTAACACTGTACTGACCATGCATACCTTACCACTTTCATGAACTTATAATACAATCTAACAATTTCTTAGTATTGTGAATATTATACTCCCTACTGAGTCTTGATAGTTCGTATATGTAAACTGGGACTTCAAACAACTATCTTGTAAACTAATCACTGTCAATATTAAACATAAAATTTAAAGTATTTTAAGTACAGCTTGATGGTGACTAGCCATGTAATCCAGGACGAGCGTCTCGTCCTATTTGGGGACTCATCGACTGGATGTACCTGGACCCCAACATTCGAAGAAACAAATATAGAATATATATCAAAATAGTAAAGTATGCATGAATTTACCTTCACCATATACTCCATACGGCTATGTGCATGTTTCTCAATTATTGCTTCTACCCAGATCAGAGGTTTAACCTAGATTTAAAAAGAAATTAAGATAAAATATATAGGTTATAGAGATACACAGTTTTTATGACTGTCTATTACATAAACGAACCCAGTGAAGGCTACTGATAATAAGGTTATGATAAACGATGTACGATACAGTGTAGGGAACCTGAAGAATGATAATTACTTCATTTAAATAGTGAAGCTGATGAAAACACTTTATAATTTCGTTCTATTTAAAACCGTGATTCAGAGGTTTAATCATATACCATGCATTTAAGTCTCACTAAATTATCCTGATTTAAAAGACTAAGTATAATTATCATACCTTGCACAACAAAAGGATGTCGACCAGTATGTCAACGTATATAAGGTTTTTAAGCTACATATAGGTTTAGATAGGGGGTAAGAATAATATAAGACTTGACACAGTAGAATGTAAGTTCAAGTTGACATACTTTTCGTCAGTAAACCTAGAAAAATTATTCGTCCAATTCATTTATTTAAAATACAGATTTTGGTACAAGAAACGTAAAATAAATTGTCTCATGAATTGATGCTATGGTGGAGATACGTTAGGTCAAATAATGGTAGTAACATTAATCCAGTTTCTTTAACAAATGTTTGCCTTTCCTCACACATTTCCATTATAATTAAATCCTAGCCTGAATAAACAACTCGAGATGCACATCATTTTCAAATGAACATATGAAGTTTATTTCCCTTATACTAACTGTGTATAATGAAACTGCACGATGATTGATAATAATGTCTGTTTTGGAATATATATATGACATATTTTGTCTGCTATAGATTTGTACTCATGATCTGTGTAATACAGTAATTTTTAAACATAACAACTAGATGGTATCTGCGCTGACCGGTGACCAGGCATAACATTTACCTGTCAGGAATGTTGATTTTTTCGCAGAACCGATGCTCAGATAAGGTGCATTGGTCTTTCACCTTTAAACTACCTATATGGTTAAAACAGTAATTGTTGCTCGAGTAGGTTACCACAACTGTTAGCTAACACGAATGGAATACATGTATCGAAAAGCTTTAAAACATAGTTATCTCCACAGATATCAATTTAATGATAATCTATCAAGTGAATATTTAAGTCCCATGATGGACAAACAAAATTTCTAATGGTGACAAATAAAACACTTACATGGGTGTTGAGCCTGTAAGACATAAGTTCAAATTCACCATCTGGAGGGATAAAAGAGATTGTTCGATCATTTTCAAATCTTGACAGCCTAACACATTGATGGAATTTCACATCTTCCAGTTCTACAGCTTTGCCTTTATCGCCTATGTAAAAAAATATTGGGGGGGGGGGGGTAAAGGTCGAGCAAACTACTTACGTCCGATGTTTTCAAATCTGACTTTGTCATTCACTCCCAAGCGGAGCTCGGGCATTCCAGAGAGATAAACACGAAGTTTTATGCTCCCCACAATCTCGCTGCGCAAAACGTTTCCGGTGGAGCTCACCTAGCATTTTAAATATCAAGCAATTTGGGCATACTAATAGATTCACAGACTCAACAACATCTAAGAAAACTTCATTTTTCCGATACTTTACATTTTCCGAGCGCCAGGATACAGCATTTGTAACAGCAACTGGAGGACGTGGAGCCACCTCTAGTTTGTGGCTCTCTTGTGTAATATATTCCTGAAGGATTTTTGTGTCAGTTGTCTGTGGATAACCAAAGTCCATAATTTCATCTAACAGTTCGTATGTGATAACAAAGTTATCACGAATACTCTCTTCTTCGAATTCCCCAAAATATTCAAGAAATATCTGCGTTGATGAGAAAACCAAGAAACTTACACTGACGAGTTTATACAGAAAAGCAAGAACCATTGCTACATTGGCGTTTTTGCGTGTTAAGCATACCAAATACAAGTAATTGTATTTAACATAAGTGAATGTTATTTCCCCTAATTGTAAAACTGGAATAAGACTGCCTTCCTCTTCACGCTCCATTGCAACAGGCATAAACTTTTCAATGGCACTGGTTTCGACATCACCACGATAATTCCTATGAATGAGCACTTTCCCTTTGTTGTCTAAAATATATAATGCTGACACAACCATATCGTAGCGCTAAAGACAAGTTAGGCGCTAGTCGTCAGTAGGATAGGAAGTCACCCAACCTACATTAATCCCTATAATTTGTATTACTGTGTAGAACCACTGTCGCTTTAAATTAGTAGTGTCTATAACTATTAAAAACGTACGTAACTCATCTTGGCCTTTGAACGGACCTTAATAACTTACACAGGTTGTGACCGTTGAGTCACTTTTACTTTCATAATTACTCTCTTGTTCTTATAGAAAATCGCAACATTCAGCACATGTACATGTCTTATTTTTGTTTCCCTGTTTTTTGCACTGATATTCCTCCTGAATATATGCCTGTCACTTATTATTATACATAGTTCCTGTCTCTTTGACAACATATGCACTATCGATTTCGAGCTACAATAACATTCGTAATGAATATTATAGCGACTTGACACAGTTTCGTCTTCTCGCTTTCCTTCTCCTTTCGTTTCTCCTATTGTTTGTCAAGGGTAAAAATCGTATGAAGTATACGTATCTTAAATTCATTCTCATTTTTTACCTATACTGTTGTTCTCTAACACGAACTAAGTCAATAATTATATACGGTGGTAGTTGGTATGTGTATTTCGTCAATATCCTCATTCGATCAACGGTCTCCAGAAACGTATCAACAGAAATTTCTGGTATCACCTGTTCCGGTAGATGATTCTAGTAATTCAATACTTTACGCTATAAACGAAACTCCAGATATGAACGCATTTCTTCAGAATGTTCTGTCAAAAGATAATTTCAAGAAGGGAGAAATAGGCAAGTTATATTAGCATCAGGAACATTATTCCGTATACTGTAGGTGAGCATAAGATCACACATTAACTTCCGCTACGATAGTGGAAATGGGTTGAGGCATCTCACTCTGTCCTCATAAGATAGTCCAGAGAGACCTTTTAACATTTCGGTCCCTCTCCGTTGAACCTGTCCTAGCATATTTGCTTCATGCTTGAAACAATGATTCGCTGCCTGGACTCCAGATTCTAAATGCGGCCTCACAAAAATCGAGTAGATCACCAATGAATTGGGACCTATTCGACCTAGACCAACCAGCTCAACGTTAGCACCTAACGCAGGTTGACCTTTCATCGTACCTAGATACAATTGCTACTTCAATGATCATGCAACACAAACGACGTTATTACAGAAATATATTAGTGTGACTAGGTACATGAAACAGTGTGTAACCACTGCTTCATGAGCCAATCCATGGTGCCCAACTAATTGATGCGCGTTGGTTGCCTTTGGAACTGGCTAGGATCGATGAACTATTCGATATTCAGTGACTCGACCGACGGATAATTTGGCTGGGGCGCAATGGCATTTCACTAGCTCTATACTCTGCTTTAATACCTGGACATTTGTTTGTCTAAGTAATCAACTGAATTATGAATGCCCATAAGACTAAGTTGTTTGACCGTGGTAGCCTTAAACTTACTCGTGTTACTACAGTAGTTGCTTGCTATGGCTCCTAGATTTTTACAGTCGATTGGTTTCGGTGACACAGTTTCACTTGTGCAGTGAAATGGATGGCTGCAGCTATTTGGTCGCATCACTACGCTCCCGTTCGGATTAACTTCTAATAATGTCCACACATTCTATCAACTAGTGAATTTAAATTGTCCTGTAGTTTAATCTGACTGACATACTGTATATAAGCCTCCAAACCTTCATATCATCTGCAAACAATAGTACATATGAGTTCGCTGCACTTGGTAGTTCATATTCATAAAGTAAAAAGAGAAGAGTGCGGAGGATTACGCACTGGGTCACCTCACTTTCCAAAGTTTTTCACGTTGTTAGGGATCGATTTACATGTACCTGTTATTTACTATCATTGAGAAAGACGCATATCCAGTTTATGACTTCATCATGAATACCAAAACCTTCCAGGTTTAACTTAAGTTCCACGCGAGAGACACTGTCAATTGCTTTACTTGGGTCTGCAAAAATTACACCCACCGGAATATTTCTATCTTGCTCGGCAGCCCAATCTTCCCTTGAAGTGAACAGGATTTTCAAGCATAATAAGACTTTCCTAAACACATGTTCTTTCCTGGATAAAAGATTATTCCCTTCCATATAGTTTAGAATAGCCACCTGAATAACTTATTTCATTAGTATGATGACTACACCGATTAGAATAATAAGACGATAGATACTAACAAAGTCCCTACCCCCCACTTAAGAGACTGTACTGACAATAGAGTCTTTCCAGTGTCTTCGCAGGTCTGACTGCAGCAAATATATCGAACAGCCTTGGGGGAAGTTCAGCTGTTACGTACGCCGGAGCTTTCATAGTCCTAAGATGAGTGCCCTCAGGATCACCGCGCTCATCTGGCTAGGGATACTGAAGTAATCGTAAGACGGTTCTTTTCTTCATAACAACTGAATCATTCGGTAAGGCTCCATCACAAATAATTGTTGGTTTTTCATAACTGTCGGTTGGAACATTACTAAAATATTTGGATAAAGTGGCGAGACTATAAGTTATGGACAAACCAGTCAGGCATAAAATAATAGGTCTTCTATTTTGGCGCGAAATCCACCCATCCATTTGGCTAAATAGTTTTGGCGTCATAGCTGATGTCAGTTCGTTAAGAAAACCGTAAATCCAATTCCTAACCCTAACCATCAAATGTAAATCCTAATTCTAATTCCTCACACTGGTTTATGACCCTTATTTTTTCATAGTTATTAGGTGGACACTCTCACTTTAGCGTCGCTCAAAGGTCGTCCATAAATTAGTCTCACCACTACTGTTTATATACATTCACGTAGTGCTAAACCTTGTAATTTAGGTCCCATTAATTCGAGTGTTCCTAATGATCATTTATGTGATGACTATAGAATAATACTGAACTCCTGTCACTTGACGCAAACGCGCACAACGGTAGAGGCTGAAGATATTCTTAATCCACTTCATGGCTCTAAAGTGATCTCGAGAGTTGACTTGAAAGATGCTTATTTTCAAGTTCCCACAGATAAACCTTCACTTCTTTTGACAAAAATTAACACTCATTTTGGTCTGTTCAAGTATAACTTCCCTCAATTTTGTTGAGGTTGTTCGTCAGCCATATTTCAGGAATTGATGAATAATGTAGCTAGTGATCTTGAAGGTGTTAAAGCTTATCAAGATGATCTCGTTGTTCATGGTTCTGATAAACTAGTTCATGATCGTGGAACTATTGCTTTATTGCGTCGTTTAATTGGGAAGAATATCATAAAGGAACCTAGGAAGTGTTCATTTTGTGTATCTTGCTTTGAATGTCTTCGATACCTAGTTCATTGTGATGGCTTTAGACCAGATTTGAAGCGATGAGCTCCACTGACAAATGCACCGTCTCCGAAAAACATTACAGAAATATGTTCACTAGTGGGTGCTCCTCAATACTACTCCTGGTTTATTCCTAATTTTTCTTGTAGTGACAATTGTTTATTTAATATTTTGACATCTAGTCCATTCAAATTTGGTGTGGAACATGAGTCATGCTTACGAGGTCTACCAAAGGTTCTTCAAAGTGATGCCATTCTTCCAAATTATCCTCCCTCTGTACATTCTATAATTATTACTGATGTTGACAGATAATTCCCATTTAAACATTAAGATTAAAACACGAAGTTCAGCGAAGGGATCTCTTTAGTAGTACTTTTACAAAAACAAAATTTTCATATATATACGATTGTACAGCTTGATAATAAATTCGTTGAAAAGAGATCCCTTCTCTGAAATTCGTATTACTGATGTATCATCTGTGGGTATTGGTCCACTTTTGGAGCAGGAAGATAGACCAGCAATCTGTGTTTCACACAAACTTACTCTTACTGAACAAGGTTATTCACAAACTCAGCGAGAAGTACTAGCTGTTTTGGGCTGTTAAAATAACCCAAAAATATTCATTTAGAAATAAATTCTTTATTGCTACAGATCATGGAGCCTTAAAGTTCATTTATCAACCCGAAAATGTTTAACACATTCCTAAGCTGCTGTGGTTAGACGATAGAGTATTGTTTTGTGTGCCTATGACCATACCATTTAGCACAGAAGTGCCAAACAGATTGTGTTGTTTGTGTAAATAACGATTCCTTTGTACTTGTTGAATATTTGGTTTCGAATTCCAAAAACAGTTCATTCGTTAGTGCTTATCCAGTACTACTTCATCCAATTTCATTATTTCTGGGATCCCTAGTTTGTACTATAATTCAAATACTCTTAATTATCACACAGATTCAACACGGTAACTACATGTCTCGACAGTCATAACAAAATAAACATGTCAATACTACAGACTGTTTGTTAGTGCAAGCTTCACCAGCGAGGCGTCCGGATCTGAGAATAGAAATCACTAGATACTTTGGATATATACTTAGTGCTATACGGAAAGGTTGGAATGCTGACAAGAAAGATGGATTTCCTGCCTATTTTTCAAAGAGGGGTGGGTTATTTACTAAGTTCGGGATGTTATATCCCCAGAACTCACTTGGTAAATGCTCTAATTTTGTAATTTTATTTTGAAAACGTGAATTTCCTCGTTTTCGCGCCAAAAGCTCTCCACCTTCATGTCGTATTTCCCACCTGGGAGAATCTTTAACGCTATTGGTCCGTTGTGTATTTTAGTACGCTGTTTTTATAACGCTTCCCAAGGACAGTTTTATGCTGTATATATATACTTTTGATTTGTGTCTGTTATTTTTCACTCGTGCTTCTGGCTTACGGAATGTACTTTCCCGTTCCAAGCTTCGATTCCTCACTCTAGTTAGCGGGTCTGGAACGCATCAGATTATCCAGCTTACTGGTCTTCGGTCACAAGTCTTGTTCCGTTCGCATACTAAGTGAACTCGTATCCGCTTCAAACCTAGCATAACACTCCTGATGGTATTTTGTGTTTAAATACTTATATTGTTATTCCTCCTTCATTGCGTAAATCCGCCCTGGAATATATACATAGTGAATATTTTGGTGTTGAGTAAATGAGGCCCTT